AGTAAAGTTAAGCAAAATCGAAACTTGTCAAAACATTGTACATGCGAATTCAAAAATTTATTGCATTATTAAATTTTCATTCTTGTGAAATTTGAACTTTACTTGCTTTATAAATTTATTAAATTAGATAAGACATAACTAAGTTTTTTATGAGATTTTTTCCATAACTGTAATTATTTTGTAGTTATTGTTAATTAAGTTGTAACTTATTACAGCAAATTTTAAACTTTAATTATTTATTAAATGCAGAGAAAGAAGAAGGATACTAATGTGTTGCAAAAAGTCTTTAAAAGAAAGTAAGATCATAGATTAAATACGCAACTATTACACTACATCCGACAGAATTTTATATAGCAGGTCAGATGTTAGTTTACTGTTCGACAGACGAAAAGCACTCTGTACATATCACTTGGTGAAACTCAATACCACAACGCTGAGACAATAGATATTAGTGAAAAGCATGCTGTAAGTGAAAAAAAATAAGACCTTCTAGAAGAGACCTGTTTCAGACGAATAAAAGCTTACTATCTACCTATATTATGCAGTTGTTTATGTGGGGAATTCCACAAAAACCTCCCACAAACCCCCACAGATCCCCATTGACCCCCTACTGCACACCTCCAATAAGGTAAAATTTCGTCGTTCTCTCCCTTCTTAGGACTTAGCTTACTTTGAGTCCAGACACCCCAGCCGCCACCCCCCCCCCCCCACAACCTGTCCATATCCTCCCACTGGTCCCATATACGCCCCTCCACAGAATTTTTCTTGACCTTTTACAGCCTCTCACACCATTTTTTTGAAATCTTACTGGTACCCTACCAACTTTCGTAGATTCCGATAACTATCCACACACATATGTGTAAATTTTTTTTTTTTTTTTAATAAATACCTACTTACGTAGTGTANGGCTTATTAAAAGCCTTTTCATCGAAATTTGTACTACAAACACTAAATTATTAATCTGATTTTTATAAAAAGTGAAAAAAATCTCATGTTTATAATAAAGTTTTTGGATTGCTAAAAGATAAATTGAAAAGCACCTCAAAATATATCTGGCTAAGTTTTTTTTTTATAAATAAATACCTAATAATGTAGTGTATTTATTTTTAGGCTTTACTGTAAACAAGTACATATAGCCTTGGTACAGTAAGGCACATTGTTACATTATATTTGTTACATATTACAAGTAAATGGTTTACATGTTACATTATTGGTTACATTTTTACATTTACACAGTTGTAGTTCCGTTGGTACGTTGATGATGTCGCATAGACCACCTCGAGAGCGAAAGATCTATGTGGTAGGCATTGATACAGTTGTACTTTGTTGGTACATTGATGATGTCACATAGACCACCTCGACAGCAAAGGATCTATGTGGTAGGCAATTTTTGCTGCGAGAAGATCGCCCATCCCTTCACGAGGAGCATTGCGTGGTGAAAAAGCATACGTGGAAATTCACAGAGGTACTTGCTTGGGAGAGCCGCTCTGGCCGGGAAACAAACCCGCAATCTCCCGCGTGCCGTCTCACAAACCAGCCGACCGATCCACCGCGCACTCATATGTGTAAATATACTGTTTTATTTTGAAATTGATTTAATCAGCAAACTACGATAAGACATACACTTTAAAAGTAAACCAATACATACTTGTATATATGTAAGTAAACATTTTTTTCTAGTAACATATAAATCAAAAACATGGTAGTTGTAGTTGGGCGTCGGTTTCCTTATTCTGACTTATATACCTCTTTATATATGTATATTCCACTGCCATCCACCGACCTTATGCGTACTTTATCATTTACTTTGAAATACATATTTCAACGCGTTTTTTCACATCGCCTAGGTCATAAATAGATGCACTTTATACATCCGAATAACGAAAACCTAATTTATTTATATTTCTAAAAGTAAGATCATTAATAAATTTATATGAATTCTGTTTCAATTCATATGTTTGTATGAAGTTTTTGGTGCGCTAAACATTTTTCTTTTTTGTTGTAATATTGGCGATGAACTATGTAAAAAAATTTTAGTCTTTTTTTTCTTCATATGATATGATATTCATAAATACATACATTTGAATAACACTTATTTATACGATAATATATACCGCAGAAGTATTGCCCTATTATGAAGGCTCATTATTACGAGTCAACTTGTAAGATCAGTCAAGTAATTTGATTAATATTTATTTTGCTGTTATATGTACACAAGTTAATAACAAACTTCTGTCATTATTTGTATTTTAAGTAGAATATAACAAAATTGAAATAATCTTTTCTTTTAAATGCTGAAAAATCCAAAACATATATGTAAAGTTGAAGCAGTAGGTTTATTTAAACTGTTAGATAATCCTCGTCGAAATTTATCAAAGAGGATATTAGTCTTTGTACCGAATGTTTCATAAATTATGTAAGAAAAATGACATTAAATAATGCTCCTTATACTATCATAAAAAAAATATTAGGATATGGAAAAGTTATGAAAATGGGGGATATATGCGAACAGTTTTTTATTATTGTACGTATTTCAAGTAAGAACTGTCTCATATTTTTTACTGAGTTATCAAGACAGCTTACTCACCAAACTTACTGGCTTAGTCACCAAAGCCACCCACTCACCATCTATTTGTGGGGGTGTATTGCTGCAACTGTATTACGAACCTCGTAACTGACCTATTATATACCATCTGCACAGTAAGAATATTTCCGGTGAAACACCTTGCCAGTTGAGCTGGCACTCTCTGCACCAATAGTGCATCGGGTCTACTCGCTGCTGTGTAACCTTTTCCTAGAGAAACATTTATATTTCAGGACGTTCACTCCTTGCTGTTTAAGCCAGCTCTCTTTGCTCAAGCATCAGATCTTGACTAATAAGAGTCCTCGGAGAAGCCCCATATTTGAAGGATCACTCTTCGCTAGTAAGGCAAGCGATCCCTGTCTGGTATCTGGCATTGGATCTGCTAATTCTTACCTGTAGTTTTTACACTATTTTGTATTTAGTTGGGCCTGAAGACTAGTAGGACAAGAAAAAAAAAATACTGAAATTACTCTGACGGTAAACTCCACGGAAAAACCTGCTGTAAAACAGCTGGAATTTCATAGGAGCTTTTTCCAATCAAAACAGTTTGTAAAAAAAGTATTCACCGGTAATCGAATCCACAACCGCTAGAACGGTTTTGCATCAGTACCAAGCACGCTTACTACTGTTGCCTCACTACTGAAAATTAAATATGATCGTTCGTAGAACAAATGTATGAGTTACGCCTTTGTTTAACAGTTTGGACGTAAGAATCACTTGGGTGGTTTAATGAAAATTTGTTTATCAGAATAATTCAAAATTTCTTAAACCTACCTTATGTTTGTCAATCATGTAATTAATTCAAGTTTTTATCACATAAACATCAAACTTTTGTTACAAACACATTTAAAATATTCTGAAATTTTTCTACTAATCGCCTAACTAATACCATACCTTCCATACCTTTGGTGCAGTGATATTTTCGTCGGTAACGCTCATTACCGTTTAGTACCTTTCCAATGAGATGGTACATAAGATAAGAAATTCCATAGAAGAACCCACCTGATAACAGCCAAGACTTATAGGAATTTTTTTCAATCCAAAAAACTTTTGAAGAAATCTACATTTACTGAGGATCTATCCCATCACCGCTAGAACGATGTTGTATCAATCCTAAGTACGCTTATCACTGAACCTATACTGCTCCTCATTGGTTGTTCTTCTTAAATACGATTAATACATAAATAAAACTTTTCAAAAAGAAAATGCAAATATATGAAATGTTTAAAATAATGATTTAAAAGTTTATTTGTTTTTTATTGCGGAAAGAACCAGTAATTAGGATTTTGAGTACATAGTGATTAAATTTCTATTTTGTGCAGAGCAACAATGAATAAAAAAAAATAAAGAAAAACATCATTTTTTTTATTTTTAATAGTTTCAAAAATAACAATATTCTTAAAGAAAAATTTTTTTATTCAAACATTACTATTTGCCATTACAATACATAGTATACATTACTAAGTATACAATAATTTGAAATATGTCAATCATGCGTTAACTTACCTTAAGGACAGTTTAACGTAAGTAAACAGTTTTTTAAATGAGCCTATGAAAACGAGATAATTTGTGCCTAAAAGTCTTTATCTAATAGTTATATCGTTCATTCAGATTTCTAGAAATTAAGAGGCAGATAAAAGTAAACTGGACGAGTGTATTAATAGAAACTTATTGAAGTTGTAAAAAATATATTCGTAGTAAGTTTTTATGAGATTCAATTCATTTCATTTGCGTGAAAAATGTTTTTATTCACAAGCTCCACAATATTCTTACAAAAAGATTTGAAGTGGAGCTAGACAAAATTAACAGAGCTATTAAATTTTTATGAACGTATTTCTGTATAAATAATAATAACATTTACTAACACATATTAGCTAATTTTTTCTGATAGAACACTTTAATACATACAATATAACTGTAAGAAGTTTTAACGTAAGCCTATTTTATGAACTTGTTATGCAAAATTTATGTGATATATTGAAATAAAACTCTGCCTGGTTATAACTAAAATTTGAAGTCATAATCTCAGATATTGTCTGTTTATTATGGATATAATGTAATATAATGAATATTCGTTGGCTTTCTTTACATTTTTTTTTATGATTATTACTTAAATTTTTCCGTATTATATGCTGAAAATATTTTAACAAACAGTAAAATGTAAGCGAAGTGCTAGAACTCATATCTACTAAAATATAATTAAGCTTTATACTAACACTTGTATAGTAGGTTGAGGGACAGAGTATTAAAATGCCTTTCTGTTTAGGTTCTCATAGAAAAAGTGGTGTAAAAGTAACATTCATTCTAGATTAACATTAAATAAGTTTTTTTAATGAATTATTTACAATTCTTTACTTACAATAATTACAATAGTCTATAACAAATTTATGCACTTTCATTATATTTCTCTTTTCAGGGCGTCCGTTCTATTTTAGCTCGTACTTTGACGACAGAAGACATTATAGTATGGTCAGCATCTCTCAAACAAATTATATCCTTCACTTCCAATAAAACAATATTGAATTTTATTCATCGATTTTTAGAGAAAAGTACTTTACTTAAGGACGTAACATGTGACGACTACTGTACAAATAAAACTCATTGTGATAAAAACTTGCTGTGTTTTGTACTTCCTCAAGTATTTTCGTATAAAAAAGAGGATACATATCACCAAATTCATGAGGTTCAGTTAGATATTTCAGTTAGTGAAAACAATTACTTACAAACCTTAATAAGAATAACTTACGAATGTGTTATAAGAGATAAAGTGAATCTCCTCCCACTATGGGTTAATTTTACAAAATCCATATTTACCATAATCAAAAATGTAGAAATTCACTTTATCTGGCAAATAAAATTTCTTTATTCACTTGGTCTTACAAAAGACTATTGTAAAGGACTGCAAAAAGTACTCAGCATAGAAAATATTTTAGCAAACAAACAACAGATAAGTTTTATCATAGATTCGTGGGAACATGGTACGTATTTTCAATTACTTCTGATGTGAGTGAATATGTAAATCAAATAATTTTTTTTTTTTTAGACCTTCGTTCAGCTTTATGCAATTTTAGAAGTACTGGACACCAATTTGAAAAAATTCAATGCTATAAAAAGTTTATTAGTTATATGTTTCATTATAATGTATTCGATATAAAAAATTTTTTTCATAGATATAATAAAGGTAAGCACATTTTCAATAAAAAATAAGTCCAAAGTTTTTTTGAAAACTCATCATAAATTATTTTTCAGATAACCTTACTAAGAACAGATCTTGTTTAGAAGCTCATGGATCTTCAAGAATCAAGAAATTATTTAAATAGTTATCTGATTCACAAGTTTTTGTTTTATGCATCATTACTTGTAAGCTAAAGTTCTTGAGAGAGATATACTAATAAACACATCATACTAATAAACAATTTTTCTAAGCACAAAATATCAATTAATTTAAATAGAGTATATTGAATCCTACAATCCTTACGTGTAAAGTACTTCTAGAAACGAACAGTTAAATTGTTATAACATTTTTTCGGCTGTAAATTTGTGTTAAAGTTATAGATCCTAAACATTTTTATTAATCGATTGAATTTTTTTCTTTATTTTTAGTAAAAACATTTACATAAAGAAATTATAAATGAACTTTAAAAACTTCTTATTACAATAAATACTTTTATAGGCGCGTTATGAACGAAAGTAAAACAACGATTTAAAAATTTTTTAACGAAAAATATGTGACGAAAGTAAATTTTTACTCCTATTTCCAGTCTTGAAACTAAAAAAAAGTAACATAAGTTATATGCTCATTTTTATTTTTTAATTTAATTCTTGAAAAAAAGACAAAAGACAACCATTGGTCGGTAGGTGCTTGAATACCCAAGTTTAAATTTTTACTTATATGGCAGATAATATAAAAATGTAAATATCTTCTATGTAATGATCATAATTTACATTAACCACTGCAATGTATCGAAAGTGGTGCAATTGCCGTTTGAATGAAGGTATTCAGTAATAAAGTGTGATTTCAATAAATGTTTTCATATCAAATAAATAAAAAAATTGTCAACAATGTATTATATTGGAAGGGTATATTTTTAGAATTGGATGATTTTATGTGTTGGACCACGATCTTTACCAGTAAACGTAAGCCACTTCAAAAATTGTCTTGTTTTATTGACGAATAAATTCATACACATAGATTGCATACCGCATTAAATGAACTTAATATTTTATTGGTGTTCCAACCAAAAATAACACTCAAACGCCGAATGCTGCGTGAAAATAGACACAACATAGTATCAACAGATTTCTGGTTAACGTTTGACTTGGAACCTTGACTCGGCAAGGGACTTTTCTATAGCGGGTTTGTATACTACGAAACTATAACTACAATATATGGATAAAACCGACGAGCAGCATTGCGTCAAAAACAAATGCTTGAATTTACACGGTGATACCAAAAATCAAGGGACCCAGTGAATTCGATGTATAGGATTACAAACTACACTATCAGCTTTGGCTGAAATTGAAAGACCTATAGATCGTACAGGATATTTACTAGGTCTATCAACGATAAACACGTCACAATGTGTGGCCCGCACTTAGTACAAATCAACATATAACTGACACACTAATATCGTACCGTCAACATGAATAATCTCAACAATGAATCGGCGCATACACGACGTCGCAATTTTCGCGTATTTTAACTAATACGTCGCGTACACAAACAAAATAAAGCAGAAGAAAATATTTGTTAAGTAAGTCAAAATGCAAAATAAATAAAAAATACCCAAAAGATTAGCTATACAACGGGATTCGAGGCTCACGGTGACATCAACACCGATATAAGGAGCAAGCCTCAAAACGAGCGAATCAATCTTACGTGATCAAATACTTAATTAGTCAACGTCCATCAACTGGATACGATACTTAGCTAGCGTGAAGGAGGTGGCCGACTCGATACTCATAGAAAGTGCTTTTTTTCGTAGGAGAATCAGTTAAAGAGTTGTAATGAAAATTGAAAAATTAACACGTCGATACGGAAATTTAAATCACAAGTTTATTTTAGTAACAACGAAGCTTGCACGAATACATTATAGACAATCATTTATAATAGATAGTAAAACATGATTTGCAACAATCATATCATTTTGTAAATTTAGGTATTGTGAAGCGACGCTTTTAATAGCGTAAGCAAAGTAATTTTTTTTTTTTTTTTTCATACAAATTGTTGGCGAGCTCATTTTAATTTGAAGCATACAAAATCGTTGCATAAGTTTATTTATCAAATTGTGACAAGTTTGTATGGTAAAGTCAATGTCAGAAAACTTAGTAATAACAAATGGTATATCAGGAATTTTACATAATAGTAATATGTCTCCACAGAAACAAAAAGTTTTTTCCATCTGTGAAAAAATAAAAATGTTTCTTCGGTTACACAAAACATATTGTTGCGTTTGGAGCCTTGATGTGTAATAAGACATTGTACGATTTATATATTTTTGAACAATTGTATCTTTCTTATGCATGTCTCACATGTCTTCTGATTTTTGTATATTCTTTATTGTATATCCTTACATCAAGTGTAAGGATATTGTTTTCGTTTTAATTTATACGCATGCTATCTGGGTTTATAGCAGCTTTGAATTCCGCCATGCTATTTGTCCGTCCACGTAGATTGTTGGTGCGCTTTTGCAAAACAATGTCTAAGAATTCGCTTAAATGTTTATCTATGTCGTAGTTGCTAAATTTCATGGCATGAGGTAACAATAAGAAATTTTCAATCTTATGACGAAGAATAAATTTGCTAGACCGTCCTGCGTCAAGTGAGTAGGAAAAAAAATTAGAAACCAATACCTCAAAAATAAGAAGATGCATCTTGAATAGTTAACGTTGATAGTATTATAGATGTTTGAAAACACTTCCAATACCTAGTACCAACACGTAAAGTGCCTACAAGAACAACAAATTCATTTACATAGTTAACTCAATTTAAAAATTTTTTTGAATACTTATAACTGAGTGCAATCGAAGAAGATCAATCTTTTTATCATCCTCATCCACTCTTCCATGATTTCAGTGCAAAGTACTATCACAAATCTTTTATCAATTGAATTATCTGATAGTAAATATTCTAACGCAGAGGCAACGCTTTCAAAAAATACATTTTTATCATTTGTTAAGACTGGCTTTAATTTGAAATTTTATTCTGGCGAGAGTCATCTTCGAAAGTGTCAAATTGGATGTCAAGATCGAGCAACAGTAAGCACCTTGTGTTAGAGATTGTAGGATTAATAAGACCTAACTTCTGTTTCATTCCGATGCTACCGCTGGAGCTGGTGTCGACAGATGAGATGAGCTCGTAGCCAGTGTACTTGCTGTCTGATTCTCTCAGTCGTTGGACATTGGAGCTAAGGAGTGTAGACAATAGTTGGCGTAAGTGGGTAAAAAAGAGAGTCGACACACTGAGGTTTGAAGTGGTGTTCATATGTTGGTATTTGTTGCCTTTTAAGAGTGCTCTTACCGCTGCCGTAATGTAGGTTTCATCGAGCAAGCGAAGACTCAGCGTTGGCTTTGCATTGAATGATCCAGGTGAGTGATATCGAGTTGTCGCACAGTCTCTCTTATACACTAAGAGTCACTTTAATACTTGCGGTGTTCTTCAGAAACCAGTAGTTTCCACCTAGTGAGTAGTAGACGGTACCATTAGGCGCAAAGTTTAAAATTTAAACTGCGCGTGATGATTAAAAATCAAATTTATGTAAAACGATACTTTTTATTCAATGAAGCGATTTGATCTTCTTTGAATATACTTTCAAGAGAGTCATTGAAAGAGCCAGTTTTTACTTTATGTTTTAGCTGTTTCAACTTCTTTTTAACCTTTTATTCTCTTTTATAGATTTCGCAGTTCTCAATATAATTTCACCCTGCTTCTCTCAAAACTATACATATACCTATATACCGTACTGTGTATTGAATTGTGAAAGCCAAGATCCTACCCTCATAAACTTTTTTGGCCAACCGCTGGTAGAAAAATTGGTTAAAATCCTGTATATTTTTATGATCTCCTTAGTAAATAAACTATGGGGGTCCTGGACCCACCCTAGCTCCCCCTAGGGTGGTGGCGGTGGGATGCGCAGCTCGTGCTGTTGTACAGGGGCATGAGGCCATGGTAGTGGGGGGAGAGCAATATTGCGCCAGTGATGGAGAGGGTACTATAAGACGAGCTATTAGATGGGGTCCGAGCGTTGTCTCTCTTTCTCTCTCTCTCTTTCTAATACTTCCAGTATGGTAGTGAGGATAGTGAAATACTACGTCAGTGGTGAAGCCTTGTGCTGTAAGATGAAGCCGATTCGTTATATATATACATACATCTTGCTCCGCAGAGTGCTCTCTCTTTTTTCCTCCTGCTATGAGACAAGGGATGAAGCGCTCCATGTATGTGTATGTATGAATGAATGTATATATATTCGGTCTCTCATGCATACGCTTGCGTATGCACCTGCACACTCATACGGAATAACGTTTAGGCTTATACGTTACGCTTGTATAAACACACGCTTACATGCGCCAACGTACGCATGCTTACATAAGGTTAAATTAGTATATTTATAATCTTAAATTATTATACAGACAGTAACGTAGCTTCGCATTTAAGAAATGTGGATATGTACATGCCGTTGTTGTGGAATGTAGATCTCATTCGTGCTCTGTAATATGCAAGTGCTCAATATCTCCATTGGTTAACCATCTCATTGGTATGAAGTTTGAATGTGCAAAATCGTGTGCAGCTTGTGCACAAGGTAGTTGTATGTATACAAAAAACTTTTTGCGTTAGCGAGCGCGTTGCATGGTTTTGTAGGATGTGGTAGGGAAATAATTGTTAAAGATTTTTTTGTTTTATTTTTTCAAACCAGTTTATATTAAGAAAATGTACATGATTTATAAAATGATTTTGTTAAAAATCTTATTCTTAATATACAATACAATATAATGCATTCTGACAGCTCTATATTATTATCATCATGATTATCAACATCAACCCATTTCGTATTAAGGGGGCTCCTATGACTACTGCTGAGGTCAAAGACAAACAAAAAATAAAGTTTTGTTTTTCAATAAACAAATGTGTCTGAAAATCATTATGATATTTTTAATAACGTATGAAGTGGAAAAAATGATATTTATGTGTGTAGTTTAACTTTGTACAAAAAATAAATTATTGTTTTGACCAGTCTAGTGCATACGAGGGTACACCACCAGACCAGACCACCTGTGTTGGTGTAGTTTAGCGATGTAATATATAGGTATATGGTACATATAT